CACACTGCGTGCACACACACACACACTGTGGTCAGAGGTTCACCTGCAGTTCACGTTGACCATAACAACACCCCTGAGAAAGGGAGCAGAAGGGAGAACATCAGATGGACAAGTAAAGGAAAAAAGAAAGATGAGAGGATGGGAGTGCTGTGGTATCGAGAGGGACGTGCGAGTGGAAGGAGGGAGGAAACGAGGGAGAGGTGGGACGGCTGAGTAATAATTTAGGGTTGTGGGAGCTCAGGAGACGAGTCGGTCAGAGAATTTTCGGTCCAACTTCTGCAGACGTTGCGGGTTCGCACCAAGGTCAGTGAACTAAACACACGTTTAATCTGCATACTTACGCATTAATTCAAGTCTTTATCTTAAATACACACAAATATACCTTCAGCACTCGCATGGCTCTCTGGGAAAATGAATACTCGATTGCAAGAAAATAAATGCTTTTTACACCATTATACGTTTATTAAACTGTGGTGTAGGTAGATTTTACACAGATTTTTACAACTTGGAATGGAACTTCACCAAACCAATGCAATTTTAATGAAACTTGAACCGAAATTACTGATCATGGCGCCAACTAAAATGATCCAATACTCCCTCACTCATCAGGAAGTAGAGGACTAGGTTGGAGTAATAATATTGGAGCAGAAATAATAAAGGAAGAGTGGAAACATATTTGTTTACACTGTCAAGCTTTAAGGTTCAAACTACTGTAATAAAATTGGTTAATGAGAACTTGAACTCCATGTAAGTCACATTAGTTAAATCCAAACATCCCTGACCAGTGTAAAGTAAATATGAAGACGATAAAGCGACTTCATGGGAAAATCTTGTTACCAAAGATTTTTGAGGTTTTATGTTTCTCATATTCTTAATGATGATCTTCCTTTGTGTCCCAAGTTATATTTATTTGGTTTATTTCCTACTCTATGTCAGTTGTGAGAACCGTATTCTTGAAAAATACTCCAAAGATTTCTCTTAGCCAGTGGCTAAAAGGACTTTCAAGTTAGTTATCTATGGGAAAATTAACATTTGCATTAAAAGGAAAAATCTGGGGATTCTCAGGCAAGTTCTGGACTTATAGGAGCATGCAGATATTTAGACGTTTATTCTCAATGGACATCTGAAAAATTGAGAATTCAAGAATTAAAGGTATTGTCATTTTGTTCCCTTCATGCTACTTAGTAATTTCTTTATTTCTATGACTTATCATTTTTTAACTAACTTGTAAAATGAAGTGCAGAGGAAGAATAGCAGTTGTCTATATAATCAGATTTGATTGACTTTTGAGGACAAACCTTTTTCCTTAACTGCCTCGAGTGTGATGTTTAAGGACCAAAGTATAAAATTTAATTAATGATTCGTAGCTGTTATTCTAATTCTAGCTAATATTCATACTGGTCTAAATAATTGTTTTTATAGTATTTACCATCTTTGTGTAATTAAAGGCCTGTCTCAAATATAGGCAGGTTGAGTTTAGTGATTGAAGTAGTCTCGAAGTAGTCTTACTAATACAGAATCACGTAAAGAAACACACTATTCGCTAATCAGAAATGCAGTTTTATTGATAATACCGACACATAATGCAGTGCACACAGTATTGCTCTTTGTAGATAAGAAGTCAAATACACATTGTGTTTAGAATACATTCAGTCTGTGCCTCCCAGAAAACATTAAAATATCACCAATACTGTCAGTCATGATCAACCACCATTTACTGGATTTAAAACCAGTTTCACCAAGACATGTTTCCCTACACGTTATTGTTTAGTGCAGTTTTATGGCATCGGGAGTTTATTACAGTAGCAGTAACAGCAGAAGGATGCTCCTGTTTAAAGCTGAAGCGTAGTGCAGAGTATTTCACTTTTAACACAAGATAATGGAAAGAAACATATTCTGAACTGAACTCTGAGTTTCACTTCTGGCCACACCCCTATCAGTGATGTCACAGCAGGTACTTTGCCCTCTGCAGCTGATGGAAAATATGTTGTGACATCACTGATTGGGGTGTGGCCAGAAGTGAAAGGTGGCTAAAAGTTTCAACCCATCAGAGATCAGTGCAGCAGAAGTTTTTCCCCATTTAATTCAGTGCTGAGTTACCATTTAAAACATTTAAACATTAAAATAATACTTGCTTTCACTTCCACAGCAACAGTGCTTTAAGCTTCATAAAGGCAACTGGAATATAAAATACCCAACTGATCTCTGTATAGTTTCATGCTGAGGCACGAGTCAACATTTCAGCAGCAGCAAGTGTTACTGTATGTCCAGGCAGCAAAGCTAAAGGCACGTTACATTTACTTACAGCAATAACATCGGGCAAAAACAGAGACAGAGTCAGTGTTTTACAGACAAATTTGCAGTATGAAGGCATTTTTGGAAAATTAATAAACTAAAACAATCACTGAAAACAGCAACTGACAACAGGATTGTCTAAATAAAGCTTTTTCCGTTTTGAGGCTTGTAGACTTACATCAGCAGGTTGTTTAAAGCTCTTTCAAATATATAAAACTATTTTGATATATTAACACAAAACAGTCTTAACAGGCATCAAATGCATTCAGACTCAAAGCACTGGGATTTTTTTTTATTTGCACAAATTTGATCGTATTTACATATTTAGCTTGAAAACAACAAGCATGGTCTATATGACTAGCCTATTTGGTATTTATCGTTAAATGTTTCACTGATTTTTGGCCTAGACTTCCTTGTCTTCATTCGTCATTAGAAAAGTAAAGTCATACAATTGTGGAAAACCACAATCCAGTAGCTATAGTTTGTCCCTTAACGTTTCTGGCGCTTGGTTTGAGTGCAAATGTCTCGACCAAGCTGAACCATCAAGTCAAACTGTCACCTATTAGCATCAATTTGTATCATCTAAAGGGAAGAAACCTGGGAAGTTTTCTTCGCCTTGTGTGTGAAGACACCTTTTCAGCAGGTATTAGACAAAAGTAGGTGGTAACTTGCAATTTCTTTTAATGTAAACAGCTAGAACCCAACCCAACCATTCCCCCTAAACAGCTGAATACGTAAAATAACAACTACTTAAACACTTTTTTTTTACTGATATTAGAATGAAAGCAGGACTTGGATGAGTCATAACAACAGCTATGAAACACTTTCCACAAGAACTTATAGTAAATTTTAGTATCTCACAGACAATCAGCTTTGGTGTATTTATCGGCCAGTGTCCAATGAATCCGGTTGGGCCTCTGTTCTTCAGCACTTTTTATGTGTTTTACAAGCATAAATACACATTTGCAGCTCTAGATGTGGTAACAGATGCCTTGTGGCTGCACTTTAACGCGACAACCTTTCTACCTGTATGTGATTTGTTATTTTGAATATGAATTTCATGCTCCAGAGACACAAGCTGCTCTGGGGGAAAAAAACAGACCCAGCACATGAAGATAGCAGAATGTCGAAAAGAGCCGGTACATTGCCACACCAACTGGAACGGTAGTGGATCATCTTCTGCAGCCGCAGCAGAACCGGATCCAGTGACAGTGGCCGCAAGGTTCATATTCTTCACCTGGGGCCGTATAACAGAAACTATCTTATCTGTTAACCATGGTAATTAGAGTTAGGACTTAAATTGAATTGAATTGAATTGAATTAAATTTAACTTAAAATAGGGAGTTTCTGTAATTTGGCCACTGGACCACTAGTAAAAATTGCTTACACTCAAACAGAGAAGCCAAATAGTGTGTAGATATTCAACTTAAGTCAACTTAGACCAGTTTAGCGACACTCTTAATCCCTGAAAATAACCATGGAGAACTTGATTCAATTTATCTGAGTCAGAATGTATCTACTTGGGACGTTTTTTTTGTGTTCTGCAAATAAATAAATGTCTTTTCATTCAGTTTTTGTGAACCATCCAAGCAAAATTCACAGTGGTTTCATAGGAGTAAAAATGTAATCCAAACTCTGCGGGAAACAACTCAAAATAAAAGATTTTACGAGCACAAGGAGACAAATGTTGACATCTGATAGCGGGCAAGTTTTGAAAGTCGAGCAGAACTAACTGGATCCTGGACTAAAAGTCTGGACTGATGCTCCAATTCTGATGTTTTTTAATATGTTGTCAACTGACTTTCAAACTCCAAAGGAGGTAAATTGCTGTGATATGCCGAGGTTAGCGGTGCGGGAGTTAAACCCTCTCTGACCTGGCAGGATGATAGGTTGCCAAAACTCTGTCCAATAAATGAGCTCCTTGTGAGTCCATGTGACTCTTGTTTACAAGACCAGGTTGGCTCATAATTGGCTGGTGTGAACTTAAAACGAACCAAAAGGGACAAAGTCAACTTTTCCACTCTGGTGCGGACCAAAGCAAACTAACCGAACACGTGATCGAACCTAACAAAAAAAAACTAAAATCGTTAGACTTCAGAAGGAATCACTGAGAGGAAAGAAGATGCAAAAAATAAATTAAAAAAGAAGAAAGTGGAGTTAAATCTCTCTTCTTTTTGTCTTTTTAATTACGACTTGGTTCATCTGTGTTGTCCACCCTTGTTTCCCTTTAGTTTCTTTTTGCTCTCTAAGTCAGACACACACACACACATTTATATATATATATATATATATACATATATATATATAGCAGTGGCTCCC